CCCCAAAACCCCAAAACCCCAAAACCCCAAAACCCCAAAACCCCATGTTTTATAGTTTCTGAGGACTGATATGTGAAGTTATAATTTAATGATAGGCATACTAAAGTTTGAAGAAATCTAATTTTTATAATAAAATAATATTTGAGAGAACTCTTAAGATGTATTAATTTAGAAATCAGAGTGGTACTAATCAGATCCTTCTAGACAAGTATTTTATCCAACTAATCATAGCATCATCATCATTTATAGGCCAGAAGGTAAACAAGATAAATACTCACTAGATATAAGAGATCATCAGTCGGCTGGTGAAATAATAGACGACGAAATGCTTTCCAATATGAGCGAAATGATGTATGATGATCGCCCTTCGTATATGTCGGACTCTGGAGATGAGCTGTCAAGTGAGGATATAGAGACTTTCGACAGTTATCAAGTTCTTGAGGTAATTTGATAATACTTACTCAACTATATAGCAAATAAAGCAGAGCGGATACAATTGCAAGCGATCTTTCAAACTCCTGCAAACCCTTGCTCAAAGAGAGGAATATGACCTCGTTTTAGAAGTGTTATGGAAGATGAAGAGAGAATGTGACTAGCAAACATAATTTTTTGGAAATATGTGTTCTGATCTGATGAACAGCTGCAACATGCTAGAAAACGAAAATGTATGAAATATGGTTGTTAAAGATTTACTCTAGTTCGTGCTTGTGGAGGAGGAACCCGAGGAGGAAAAATCTTCGATGGACTAAAACTCTAGTTTGATCATAAAGATAGATTCGAAGGGGAATCTGTTGTAAAAGCGCAAGTTCCCAGAAAAAGGAGGGAAAGAACTTAAAGATCTAGATTAGAGGGAGAACTCAAACAATAACGCCTCAAACGGGAATGTTAACAACAATGAAATGTCAAAAAGTAAGTATAGAAAATTTTGCCTTATTAATACCCAATTCTTATGAAATATTAAGTAATATGATCTAATAATCTAATACCATAGAAGATAAATAAGGCAACAAAAGAAAAGCATAAAATTTAACTCTATCCACTTAAAATGGTGTTTACGATTCTCAAAAACTGAAATAAATTTGCCATAATAATGGACAGAAAAGGCCAAAGCTTAACAGTCAGATGCAGTCAAATCAGATAATATTCAAAACATTAAAGCCTGGCAAATAGGAGGAAAACACCCCTGTAAACAGCAATTTGAATGGAAATGATAAATTGGGGGTTGCGGAAAATAACGAAGACTGTTTAGATGAAATCACAATGTCATAGATCTAGCCTTTAAATATTTAAAAGATGTTTGACGAAAACTAAAATTCAAATCTATCAAGAATTAGCAACTCATCTGAATTTATTCCTAAGTTTAGAGGAAGACCTCCGATGAAAAAGTAATTAGGAGGCCAACAAGTAGGTAGCAACAACTAAACAAAAAATGAGCCATAGTCAGATAGTGATTCCTCAATTATCTCTAAGAATGACAACAGCAACTTCAACTTCAAAAAGGAGATTAACAACCTTATAAAACTAATTTAATCTACAAACCCAGGTTTGTTCATTCAAGCAGCTATGAGGCTTTAAAACCAGCAGAATTCCTAGACAAATAGATAGATGATGAGTACACTAAGCAGAGGGTAAACAAGAAATCAAAACTCATTTGAAGTCTTTTCTAAAAATATAGATAATATATAGCAAACAACTGCTGTAAATGGCATTATCAAATATGAACAAAATAACTTCTTTGAGTGTTCTGATTCCTTATTTGACGTTAAAATATCAATAGAGCCTCAGTAGTTTTGGAAGAAAGTTGATATGTTCTTCGGAATCATCCCAAGGAAGAGAGTGCTTGCCAAACTTATGAGCTTTTACAAGGTAAATGATGAAGCTTATAGATAAACATTGGAAGAACTAGGTGATTATATCTACTAAGACTATATTGGTGAATGTGATATAAGAGATTAGGCAAAGCTTTCCAAAAAATTGGTGAAGCTATTATTGTAAAACGATGACTAACTCAGAAATGAACAAGTTGAAGGTAGAAAGTCACAGAAAAGTAACGATTTGACTAAGGCATTTAAAGAAGACTTGGAAAAAAACGTGTAGGAAATGCTTCATCTAAAGCAAAAATAACAGCAATTGCTGCTGAGATAGTAATAATAGATGCAATCCAGTGCATCACCAAATTAATTCCAGCATTAAAATGAAGATGTTTTGAGCCTAAATAATATTGCCACTAATTACGATGATTCATCAAATGACCATGAGGATGCCCTAGATAACCCTGATAACTAAATAAACTAAGAAAAGAGTGTTGTTTAAAAATCATAACCTCTCAATAATATTATGAATAAACTAATCAATATGAAAATCAATTAAGATATAAAGGATTTTGACCAAACCAGTTAGGAACTTAACTAATATCCTCCTTAATGGATAAATCAAGAAAAGGAGAAAATGCCCATAGACAAATAGAAGTTTATGAGGCATATCAATTTGCATGGAGCTCCAAAGTCTTACAAAAATATCAGTGAATATGTCAGAATTGAGCTAGAACAAATCGAGTTGGTGGAGCCTGAGATTGTTGAGGAGATAGACACGCCTTAGTAGGATGAGGTCTCTCATCTGATACAGAAACTTACCAACGAGACTCTCAAGATAAAAGGTCTTAATATGATTCAAATGAAGAAAATGAAAGACAGAGTTGACATAATGACTGAGGGAGAGCAATAGAATAAGCCATATCTAAAGATCGATCTTAAATAAAAGATCAGAGAGGTTAAGCAGTTGAACAAAAAGTAGCAGACTCTAATAAGAAGGAGAGATTAAGAACTATAGCAAAGAAACCAAACAGGGTAGAGCACTAAATCTACCAAGCAGAACAGGTTCTAGAGGAAACCTTCTGACAAACAAGCCAATTTTTAATTGGATGGAGGATACAGAGGAGATAGAGGGGACAGGGAGGATAAGGATCATCATCCCTACAGTCATACAAACTAGAACACCCCTAACAATCTTCCTCCTAGACAAGAACCTCAAAACTTGTTGTTTGTTGTTAATAAAATAGCTAATGCTCATAACAGAGATATTAGCAATAACAATACCCCTGGCAATAAATCTGGAAATAATAATTTGAGTTAGCAAAGCTTCAATAAGTCTAGCTTCAACAATAATAATCAAAGTTAGAATACCATTTTTGCCTAAAACTAAGACCCTGTTAGGTAAGTTAGCTTCAATAACACAGCCTCTTTTAGTAACACATCTATGATCAATATTAATTCTAACAAGGGCTAAAACGCATCTCCATTTTACAGTCAAACTAACAATCATAATAATAGCAATAATAAAAGTGAGAATTTATCATCACCAGAGGTAAATAGTTTGAATGAATCTAGAATATCTCTGAATACCACACCCGCAAATAATAACTCGAATAAGATCATAATTCCCTTCTCAATTCCGTTTGGTGATTCGTGCAATAACCAAATTAAGAATGAGTCACCACTAAAGTGCAAGGAATCTGATTCTGACCAATAATAGAAGAAGCAGATCTAAGATTTCTAAGTGGAAACAACACCAGTAGATGCTGAGTATTAAGAAGAAGGACCAGGCAACGAAGATGCAGATATGGAAGAGGATGAAAATCAAGTGATCTTGGAAGAGGACGAGGAAGAACCAGAAGATGCTGAGGATGATGATATAAAAGATGGCTCTGTTTTTGTAGAATGCGAGGATGAGTCAATTGAAGATGATTAGCCAAGTTTCATGGAAATTAAAGATGAAGAGCTGCTATAGCACTAGGTCCCTAATAATCTAGACCATGTTAATTAGAATTAGTAGCATTAGTAGTTGCATTTATCCTCCTAACCATCACTAATACTGCATTAGCATTAATCATTACAGTAGTAGCAATCATCTCACTATTAAAATCACATTTAACAATAAAATCACTTAAACCTACAACATCATTATCAGCAGATGTAGCAAGTTCATCTTTAACTTCATTCTCCATAGTAGCATATGTAATAGCATATGCCGCAGCTAGATTATTAGTTGGGTAGAAACATTGATCCCAGTCTTAACATGAATTCTAATTCTATTCAGCTTAACCATCACTAGGTTCTTTAGTAGCAACACAATTCAAACACCCACCATCATCATTAGTTTAATCCCATATTAGAAAATGAGGACGGCTATCATCTGGATAATATCTTAAAGGATGAGGATCCCTTTTACTTAAAGCATTTCGAACAATAGCCATTCGATGAAGATTTCTTTTAACAGGATAATTCCTAATTGTTTTGATTAGACACAAGGCAAGGTAAATAATATAACAAACCATATTATAACCGACATTCACCAATATCAATAACAATGCCTACCCTTCTTATTGATAAAAGTTAAATGCTATAAAATATTAAGAATAATGGTTATTGTGATTTAATATCTATAATTTACAGATTACTCTTCTTTACTATATAAATACCTCTCGGGGTTTTGGGGTTTTGGGGTTTTGGGGAGATCGGAAGAGCACACGTCTG